AAAAAAAGACACTTTTTATCCATAACAAGAACTCCATAACAGCAAATGAACTGTACAACAGAAAATACAAATGCTATTTGGGGTCTCCTCACAACAATGATAAGAAAAATAAACTAAGCCAATATGGCATGTCTGTTAATACACATTAACACACATGTTATGTGATCTCTGGTCTCCCACTCAGAGACACAGGTCTCAGAGTGTCCAGCATTCAGACGGCTACCTGAGGACACTCATGTGAGAGAAAATCTGCTCACACAGACATGTAGAGCCAAATACTGTCAATAAGGCCTCTGCAATGTTCTGAAGACAGTTAAACTTGTCAGGTAGTGATGTCCAGCAGGTGAAAATGCAAGCTCCATGAACACGCACAGCTGTGGATTTCAGCTGCTTCGATGTTGTATTAACTAGCATTAACTCAGCCAGTTAATGCGAGACAAATCTAGCTGCTCATTAAAGATTTCTGGTTTGTTCAGAAAATAAAACATTGGTCCATACACCTGAATGTCCCAAAAATGCATTGTGTCTCGAGTCTACGGATGTATCCGTGTATTTCCGCGTGCTGATGCTGTGCTGAGCGAACAGCTCCTGAAGCTTTTGAAGTGTCGGAGTGTGGAAAGCTAACAACATCCCTCTTACCAGTAGGCTAAGTTATTTTTAGCCAATTACAAGTTGAATCTGGTAGTTGGGGTTATTAGCTAAGATACCGTCATTAAGAAGCGGCACAACTAATGTGTCTATGCGAGCTGATTTGCGATGTGCACCGCTGGCGCGGCCATTTGTTTTTTGATGCACCTTCTCAGATTAATTCACTGCGTGTCGTGCCCAGGGCTGGACTGGGACAAAAAAAAAAACAGGCATTTTGACTAGAGATCGGCCCACCAGGTATTAAAGCCATTAAGCCTTTGAATGAAAACAAACGCTGTTGTGACAGTGATGTACAGTCTTGTTGGTATATGTATAATTTCTATACATTTTATGTCAGATAAAAACTTTGGTTGTAAGATTCAGATAATTATTTAATAACAGCCCGACATTTTAAATGAGAATAAGAAAATATTTCTTTGTGCCCCCCTTTCCTTGTTAATGCCCCACCTGGCCCCCCTGGCAACACTTTGCTACACCCGCCCCTGCACAGTTACCAGCTGTCAGGTACTTAGAAAAGGATCCTGGTGTTATTTGTCTCTCAGAAACAGTTCATAACTTCCCTTCAACTCACTCATGTCACCTAAAAAGGTAAACCTGTTTCTCCATCACTTGTTCAGCTCTGATGATTCAGTAAGGACATCTCCTGGTTTCATCTTCATGTTTCCCTCTCACCAGATATACAAACCGACATCATGACCAGCAGCTTTTACAGCTGTGGCTCCAGCAAACATCAGCTGATACTAGAAATTAATATTAAATACATTCTAGCAACAGCTCATCAAGCTTAAACGTGCTGCTGTTTAGCGCGACAACCGGCGGTTTCCTCTTTCTGGCGCAAAGTGGGCGATAAACAAACAAGAGAGAAAAGCCGATCAGCTGATCATTGATCAGTTTCATGATCAAAGTAGCAACAGGAGAGGGAGATAATGAGAGAAGAAGAGGCAGCTGTGCTGCGTAACGACACAATAAATCCACCTTTGTGTCTTTTTCTATCCTAGACAAACTGCGTCCCTTCTCAGTTCAACATGAAACGCGCAATAATTTCTCTGAATGCGGGACGATTCCGTCTTTTTACGGGACGGTTGGCAACTCCACTAACTAACCTTATGAATAAAATAAAGTTCACTATCAGTAACATCATAGCACCCACCCAGCTGTATAGAAACTCTGTCATGCTAGCTAGTACGCAGTATGAGTTATTGTAACTGACTGTAAAAAGGCAGCACAACGAAAATAAACTAAACTTGGTTTATATCTGACCCAGATAGATTGCAGGTCATAACTTCTTACCTGAAGTTCAGTTCACCTGACACTCGGACCAGCGGCTGCCTTGGGTCTCTCCTCCTCCTGCCTCCCCTCTCCCTCATCCACCTGCTGACCCCCACCACTTGTTAATTTTACTGAACCTGTGGAAGCTCCGCCATAGCCACCATCAAACAACTGAGTTATTTTTACACATGGCCAGCATCTGGCCAATCCACCACCTTTCATTGTTTGTATTGTTACAAAAAAAAAAAAAATCATCGGCCCACCGAGCAAATGCCCGATGGCCAGTCACGCTATGGTTGCGCCATCAGTTAACCCTTCGCACGCGTGCCTAGGGTTGCCGACCCCTGGTCTAAACAAAGTAGGTCACTGATAGACAAGGTAAAGCAAGCAAATCAAACTCTAACACAGATGTGACATGCTGATTTTATATAAATTCATGAAGTGAAATTATTCTATGTTCAGCATTGTTCTATATAATCAGGGAGGAGTTATAATATTTTTTATTTTATAATATTAAACGGAACACCATTGATTTCGTTATGTTACAACATTTTTTGTTTTGTTTATTAATTTATTTGACAATTAAAGTTCACATGACAGAGCAGTCCATCATAGATTTGCTAACTTTGAGGGAAAAAAACATTAAAAGACAGATGGATTATTTTACCTTTAGTCAAATCATCATTTTCTTTTCCAAAATGCAAACAACTTATGATACAGATGTTTAGTTAGTATATTGAGGCATTCACATTACATTTTTTTTACATTCTTTTATGTTTTTTTTAACCTTTTCTTCTCATTCTCTCCTTTAATAGTTTTAAATGTTGTACTTTCATATCGTATCAGTGTTTTAGTGTCTTATTTAACAACAGCAATTTCACTGCAGTCATGCTGATTAATGTACATTGTCACTAGCAAAAGGTTACACTTCCTTGTGCACCACACAAGAAAGACAACTGCCTTGTTATCAGCAGACAAGACAGCAGTTCACAAATCACTAATGGTTTTATGTGCATGTAAGCAGCGCTGATGACCTTCAGTACTTTTCTGCATTAGCCTTACATTGTTCAGCTTCTTCAATTTCTCCACACTCCCACATCAAAGCCTTTGTACACACAGGGTACCTCGCACCCTGCGCAGATGTAGCACTTCACTTCACGTCATATTTTATGCATCGTGTCCATCATGCTGTTCACATATGGGCTCCAATGTACGCATCAGCATGAAAATAAGCAACTGTGTAATGAAAAAAACAAAACACAACTGAAATTTCAGCATGACAGACAACTATTTTACTATTTATTTATATATTTTTTTAGGTATCACTGTTTTAGAAGCAAACCTTTAGATATTGACCAGAACAAGAGATATGTTCAAGATAATATAAAAATAATCAGTAATAATAATCATCATCAAATTTGTCCCCTATAAGACTTAAGCCATGTTATAGTGTTCTGTGGCACTGTCGTTAGTATGTGGTATTGTAATTTGTCTTTGTCCTATATTTAGAATAACACCATATTAACTACTATTTCTCCTTTGTAAATAGAGGAGAATAAATAACTGAAAGCTAGTAAGCCTGTCACAAATAGATTAAAATATTTTATATCCAGCAAGTCTGATTTACACACCTGATCTTTCCACCATCAATCATGTCCACAGGAAAATTATACTTCTGACATGGATTCCCTGAATTTTTGATAGTATTTCAGCTCTGTTTCTAAGTTTCCCAGACTCTTCTACTATTGCTCTTCCCTCTCTGTTGATCTATTATTGGGAAAAATAGAGTTGCTCAACAGCTTCAACAGAATAACTCCCTGCCTCTTTTTCAAAGACGCATATTGCATCCTGTTAAACATGAACAGGTGGGAAAAGAAGCTGAACTGACTGTGCCTGATGTATTACATCATTAGAGCCACAGTTTCTCAGAATGTCAAGAAGTGAGAATAATAAGCTGAGAGTCATAAAATATTTGAAAAAGGGAAGTTGTCTATCACCTTGACAACCTCAAAAACACGCATGGACACAACACAGTCATTGTTGTGACAGAGTTTGGTTATTAATTAGTTTTATTTGTGACACTGATATGATTTTGTTTCTATAATTTGGGACATCTTTTCAGTGGAAATTACTAATAGCAGTAATTATGAAGATGCATTATTTTTTACTTTCGTCAACCAAGCTTATACTGGACTATACATTAATGCAACATCCACTGACTATAAATCAGAATCAGAAATACTTTATTTATCCCCAAGGGGCAATAGCATTACTCCCTGCTTAGTTTCTGAATGTTTTGATGAATTTGCATGCACTTTTTCTGAGATAATGATGTTTGCGATGCTTGTTTTGTACCACTTTTGTGAACTATTCTTCCCTCTTTGTCTTAGGTATTAGGAACTGTGGAAGGAGAGACAGATGGAGAGAGAGAAAAGCGCTCTGGACAGACAGAACTAGAGAACAGAAAAGGAAGACCATCAAACAGCAGGGATCATGAGACTCACAAGCTCACTCACTAACACAGACAAAACTGTAAAAACACAACAAAGAGATATACTTGACACTTTGTCCAAGCCACAGGAAGATAATAAAACAGCAGGTTACTGCCTGAGTGCATAAAATGAATTACACACACTAGCACACAAACACACACATTGATATAAAGAAGACAAAAAAAACCCAAAAAAACTTAGTGATGGAGCCAGATTCACTGTGTCAGAGCAACAGGGGGATAGTAAAGACAGCAGGCTGTTGTCAAAACACATCTTAAACTGACAGGTTCATTCACTCACAGAAGAGCTCTCTTTGGGAAAGCTGGAGCTTGTCAGACTGTCTGCTGCTTTATAGGCCATAAAATATGACTGAATGGACAACATATAGAGATTGTTATTTTTAGTATAGATTCTTTAATATCAAGGTAAAAAAAATCCCGGGGGCTATTATTGTTGCAGAATTATTTGCAAGAGTTGAGCAGAGAGTTGCATACCTCAATCAGTGTGCGAGTAATCAGATTTGTAAACATGTAAAAAAAATCTTCAAATATGTACTGAGATTTGTTCATGTCTACATCAGTCATGTATTCAATCTGTGTATGTTTGTAATGACATTTGTAATCAAATCCCAGCACGCGTAGATTATCTGTCACATTTTGCAAATCTAAGCATGCACACCAGGACTTTTCTAATCGTTCTGTTACAATTACAGCCTCATAAAATCCCAAATATCAAGTGACAGTGTTCTGCCAGGCCGGGCTAAAATTACAAGGGAAATAGGATGGTAAATGCCGAACATCATGCAATGAACTAAAAAACAACATAAAAAGATGCTGATGAGCAAATATTTCACATGTGCATGTATTCACTGTCGCTTGGTAGTATAGACACACACACAAATAAACCAACATGTAAAATTAACCAGACAAGTACACAGTTTCTGATGGATGGAGTGCTGAAGGGCGTATATATGCTTGGCGATTCATGCTCACACATGTGTGAACATGCATACATACATGCCTCCATGATTGAAAGACTGTAATAGCCACATTTTATTTATTGCAACAAGACACCAACAAGAATGTCGGTTCACATCCTGTTTCTTTACCTGTTGATGAAATTGAAGTCAGCTCTACGTTTTTGCTGTGTCCCAAAGGATGTGGAGACTACTCACTGGATTACTTCAAGTCTAATTTTTAATGTAATTAAAAAATAATTATACTATCAAAATGCATACTTTCATTCTTTCAGTCCCGGTTTTGTTTGGTTTCATAATAATAAGATAAGTACGATAAGTACTGTGTAATGTACAACAGAGTAATGTGACAGAGTGGGGATGCAAAAGAACTTCAAGTGGGAGTGAATATCTGTCCATGTGAAATCATTATTTGGCAATTTTTGGCACATTTTACACAAATATGACATCATTAAGTAGCATCATTGATACAATTACAGTGACTTATTTAAAATAACACAAGCCAGAGTCTTAATCAGTAAACAGTAGCTCAGGGGAACATGAAAAATTGGAAAACATCTACAGTCAATCATTTTTCAGTAGATTATAATTTTTACTGTAAATGGAAGTATTACAGCAAAGACTAACACTTCAAATTCAGCTTCTATTTTAAAATGAATAAAAAAATAAATAATGAATTCAATGTCCCATTACAAACTGAGGCTGATGCCCTGAAAATACTAGCTATTAGGAAAAACCCTTTTAAACTTCAGGTTTTTAGCCTCCAACTAATATAAAAGTCTTTGAAACAAATTGGTTTTAATCAACATGTATGATTTTACAAAGAAATTTGCTCAGAGGATTATGGGAAGTATGCTTACAGAAAGACAAACCCCTGAAATACACTGGACTTATCTGTGTCACATTCCAGCTCCTATGCAGCCACCTGAGTTGATTAAACCATCCAAGACATTGCTTGCAATTCCACAAGACATACACCAGTGAATCCCAAAGCATCCCAGAACAGACTTGCAGCTCTACATCACTTAAAATTGTGCCGGCTCTAGTTTTTACAGAGGCCACATCAAGCTGCACAAAGCTGATAAGGAGGCCAGGAGGCTGGGCACAGAAACAGCATGGAGAATCCAGTCAATTAAACAAAAATACATGCAGAGTACACTTTGCTTCTAAAAGGCTACTGATGTAGTCTGAAGCTGGGCAACGAAGGCTTTAAGTAACACTGGATGCCTTTTGAAGTCGACAGTTTAGTCACAAGGTGGTCTTTTATATTTTTAAAACTGACCAGATTTTCTATGCCATCCCTGTGTCTGACGTTATGCCCTCCTCGCCAGCTTCTTGGATGCTTCTGAAATGCGCTGTGGTGGGTCCTGGGATGTTGTCTTAAAGCTGTAATGAAACAGAGCTTCATCTAGCGTATTCCCAGATTAATGGTCATAAAAATCTAATTGAATAAATGGAATGTCAGAAAAAATCATTAGAAAACTGATAACATGTACATTCCTCTCTTATGCATTAGGCCACCATAAACCCTTCTATTTAAAGTGAATACATATTTATTCATACTGAGTAATGACATAGTGTACAATATTAAAACTTGACATTTATGGAATAAAACAACTATTTTAATCACATTGCTCAGTTGATATAAATTTGTTATTAATACTGAGTGAATTTATACAACAAATAAAGTAATAATCCCACTGTAGAAGTTGGATGGTGACGTCATTTAAACCAAGAGGTTGGAGGCCCAGAATGAGTCCTTAACAACCGGACACTGCAGCAATAAACTGGTCTCAGACAACAGTTGATATAATCTTAAACGTTATTGTCTATTATACTATACACTATAAGATTGTTTTTGATCCTGTCTATTAACTAGTAATTAATTGGTCATAAAATAGTAATTACATAAAATGATTTTTGGTGAAAAATGCCAAGGTTGGAAAGTACAGTGCACATTGTCTCTACCAATGGGAAACAGTCAGGAAAAACATCATTTATTACCCAGAAACAAGAAAAAAAAAGTTTGATTACATAGTTTTATTAAAGGATTCATTGTTTTTATAACATGTATTTGAGTGCACTGAGAATATTTTTGCTGTTCTGTGTTTTGTTTAAAAGAAGCAACATTCATTTACACATTTACTGAAAAACCAGTTTTTTTGTGTGTTTATGGTAAGTCATTCATTTTGGACCAGTTTCAGGAATAACCCTAACTAAAATGATGTGGGGACGCAGTCATGCATTGCTGTAACTGTTCAAGAACTTGGTCATTTTTGCTTTGAGAAGCTCCATTGTGGAAGTGTATTACTGTTGCCTGGTAGCAAAGAAATCTTGAAAGTTTAAAGTATTTGGGATGTTTTGTCTGTGTCTATAGTAAAGGGAAAAATAGGGAAAGAGGTCATAAAAAGGTGGAATATTGATTTTTTTTCACTCTTTATTGGTGGTGTAAATTTGTCTCTGAATGACTGTACTGCCTCATCACTGTACTTTCACTTTCTGAACCTTTATGATGGCTTTTTTAATCTTTTTTATCTTCTGTTCAATTCTTTTTTTATTACTTACTTTCAGATTTCCAAATCTATTGTAAATATTTATCTGTTACTTTTATTTAATTTGTTACTTTTCCCCTCTTTTCTTGTTGGACATTCTACTATTTTTTTTTTTCTTTTTCCATTCTGAATCACCACCATGTTCTTTAAATGTCATGTATGAAGAGACAGTATTTATTTTAAGTAACAATATTATTTATATCCCCTTCATTGTGTAAATTAGGAAGCCAGTTAATGTTTGATCCGTATTGATTGTTAAGGTGTAAGGTTGTGTAAGGTTTTTATGGTTATTAAACACCCTTGAATAATCAGGCCTTACTGCAGATTTTTACCCATCACGTCATGTAAAATTGAGCTATGTTTGACTATACAATGATCTCTGTCTTTACTTCTCATCCTAGAATGAAAACTGAATATGAATTGAAAGTGTTTTAAATTGTATATGGCTCTTGTTTCAGGCTCTCTTCTCTTCTCCCCCATTTTTCCCACCCCTACCTGCCCCTAAAGTCAAGTCCATCGCAGTCTGATTTTTACATGCTGATGTTGGCTTTACTGTTATTTTTAATGACTTGTGTATGATACTGAATACTCCGTCAGCACTGAGGGTGCTGGAGGCCTTTACAACACATGTAAATAAAAGGGTTGGAACTTGTGATTGTTGTCTGAGGACTTTTGGGATCAGAGTCTTATAAACTGAAGTTAACATTCTTAACATTGCTTAAGCAGTGCTTTTTTTCCTCAGTGCTATTCTCTCCATTCTCTCTCACACTTTGCATCTGTTCTTCACATAACTTGACAACCAATTTCGGAAATCATTGCATGCATGTGATGCATTTAGAGAAAATGTCGATTGTACATTTGAAAAAAAAAACAATTAAATAAATAATTCAGAGTTTAATCTCACAATTCTGAAAAAAAGATGTCCCCACTTTTTTCCCATGGTCCTAATCCTCTTCTGTATATATATAATTCAAATAATTAATCATAAAGGAAAATGTGCTGTGTTATAAACTGAATGTATACCAATCAAAATTTTATTTGACCAGACTCCCTTAAACATAATATTTCACACCGTACTTATCCATCAAAGTTATTAAAAACAAATACTCATTGTTCACATCTGAAACAGATTTTTGTTGGGAAAATGTTAGCCAGTGGGCCCACACTGCTTTTTAGGCGAGAATAAAGCTAAAGCAAATAATGAATTAATTTTAAAAGCATGAATGGGCACTCAAAAAGTTACAGTAATAGATTGCTTCTTGATGGAATTATTGATTTCCAAAGCCACAATCAATGCAGTAGGGTTATATATGTGTATATATATATATATATA